AGTAAAGAAGAGCTTATGCTCTTTTACAACATTTGATCATATCAAATTATAACCAAAATCTAATCTACACATTCCCATGGTTCAAACAAATTTGAGAGACGGTCTTTCACATAGCTCAATTATTGTAGGCTTAGGTTCATAATCACCCTTTCTTTAATTAATTAACGCTTTAACTAATTAAACTTGAGTGCAACATTGTCATTTGGTTTTTGTATCCATAGAATTGATTTAGATGGAGCTAAACGAAATGAAAATCCAATTCTCATTTAAAGATACAAAACTATTTTGTTCTCTACTAATTTGGGCCAAAATGCAATAACCTCAACTATTGGGCTATATTGCAAAACACAAACTTTTGAGGTCACTTTGTAAAAAACACAAAAGTCCACTACTTCATGTAATTACAACTAGAACCCAAAGATTTCAACAAATGCAAAAACTTCATTAAAGGAGCAAAACAATTTGTCCTTTAGTGATTTTGGGCCTTTACGTAAAAACGTAAACTTTTGGATCAAAGTGCAAACACACAAAAGTATCAAAACTTTATATAACTGCGTAAAGTTCCAAAAGTACCCTACTTGTAGGGTGGCCGGTTTTGGTGAGAGTGGTGTTATAAAACTTATGAAATTTTTCAACAAAGTGAAAGGTGATGGGTATGGTGTTGAAAGAAAATAGGTATGGGTGTAAAAGCAAAGTACCAATCATGCACACCAACCATGACTAACATAATTTCAAACACACTTTTTCAAAAGTGACTTGTTGATGGAAAAGTCACACCAACCATCATATATCAAGACTTTATGTAAACAACCAAAAATTTTGAATCAAAATTCCCAACCTTTTTGTTCTTACCATGAAGAACATCCATGAAAATCATAAAAGCTTCATGAACATTTTTCACCCAAAGACACCCCAAAAACTCTCAAACTTATGGGAAATAACATATACTAGGGTACTTAATGGTTCCTAATGTCACTTTAAAACACTTTTAATAGGACAAAAATGAACCCAAAAATCCACCCTTTGGATTTGGCCGAATTTCCCCACAACCATGGCACCAAATTTTAGCTCCAAAATTCATGTTCATATGAACTACATCTACAACATTTGAGATTACAAATTTTCAAGCAAAATTTACATTCAAATAAGCAAGAATAAAGCTTGTAACAATTACAACATTCAAATCAAAGACTATGAACTACAAAACCCAAAAGGATTCACCAACTACTAGACCTAGGCTCTAATACCACTTGAAGGAAATATTTGTGAAAATTAGTTCATTTGAGCAACATCTATGCATGCTATTAACAATTAAAAGGCGGAATCATGCTTGTATGCACTCCAAAACAAAACTTTACCCATGAAATTCAAGGCCTTGTAATTGTGGTGAACCAAGACTCAACTCAAATCTTAAAGAAAAGAGCTAAGAAACTTTTATACCTTTGAAGCACCTTTTTGCTTAGCAAAGGATATTCACCCATGTGAGGGCCTTCTTTCTTAGTCTCCTTGCTCCTTGACTCAATGAATGTAGATGGAGGAACTTTGCTTCTTGGCTCCATGACTTCTTGGATGGATGAAGGAATGGATTCTCCAAGTTCCCAAATTAGGGAACCTCTAAGTCTCCATAGCAAGGAGATCATTGAGGAAGAGATGAGTGACCTAGAGGAAGAAAGATTGCTAACTATTTTCCTCTAGGGTGGACGGCCTCTTAAAGAGAAAAGAGAGCTTTGTGTTCTCATCTTTTTCTCCAAAAGAAACCTAAGGATGAAATGTTATAAAGTTCTTTATATAGTCCCTTCAATTAAGTGACATGAGAACCAAAACCCTTCATCCTCAAATGTGGCTGGCCTTAAGGGTTCATTGGGCTTTCAAGCCCCTTGTGTTTTCAAGTTGTCATACAACTTGAGTTAATGGGCTTGATATTCAAATCCCATTGGGCCTTGTGGCCCAAAACTAACCCGAGGTCTATAACGAAGATATTCGTTTGATTAATTAACATATTAATTAATCGTAGCCATAAATAATTAAACCATTTAATTATCCTTACTCATCTTCGTTGTTTCTTCAATCTCTACCTTACTCGGTGTACGATCCGTTAGGTTCCTTTTAGCGAGGCAGTGGACCATTAGAACTATTCAAATCGATTGTGAATTGAAACATACTTTCAATTCTCCCTTTAGTGATTATACACCTTTAGGGCTTCCACAAACCATGAGTGACACCTAGCAGCATATCATGGCTACCTAAGCTAATTAGAAAAGGTGGAGAACCTATTCAATTTAGGATTACAATGCAATACGGTTTTTCTCTAATACAATACTCTTAACCACATTGTTTGGTTTGATATTTTATTCATGTCTACTATCCAATATGATTCATTTACTTATATGAGTACTTAGAATATGATTTGGAACGACTTCCTAAATCTCATTCATACTTTGGCTAGTGATTCTTAATCATATCATAGAGTATTCTCCCTCAAACGGTTTGAAGGTTAAAGATCCCTTGTTGTGCATTCACCTGCCTCCATGGCTAAGTGGCTTTAACCCCAACTATGTTGTGGATACCATTTAACGGAGTGCCTTTGACATAGTCAAAGATCAAGAACCTAACTACAAGACAACTATAATGCCTCAGCTCAAAGGACTACTTTGCATTATCTCAACCATGAGTTCTCGTATGACATGAGTATGAGAACTCCTCATTGATCGTGTTCAGTGGACTCATTCTCTATTGAGCACCTACATGCTTGTCTTAGTGTCGGTCACACCAATGACTCGAGACTAGTCACTCTCAGTAAGAGAAGACATAGCACATACTGATCTTAACGAACTGTCAATGCCCAATTGGCAATCCTATGATCAGCAACGTTTAGGATATGTATACGAAAGAGAATGGTCTCATGAATCTAACTTCTTTAGATCACATTCTCCCAATTATCCTTGGACTTATTGTTTAAGCATATAACATTTATATGAGACGGCTTTAAACAATAATCTTTGCCCTTTATATATATGCTAAACTAGATTAGTTTAACATGTGAAATGTCCGTAAAGTATCGTCATATGATTGGCTTTTAGGCACATTTCCAACAAATTATAGATGAAACGGAAAGACTTCCATTGGAATCCTATTTAAATTAGGACATGTGTCTCTTAAGTTGTGTAGGAATTCTTGAAACCAAGAGTTAAGAATAACAAGTTCTTTATTGCCTAGAATAGAATACTAAAATAGATTATATTTGTCAAGAAGTGTAAAATTGTATAGGCGAAAAATCACACATTTGACTGAGTATGCTACTAATCAATTTTTACCTCTTACTCTAGTGTGTACTTCCAAAGGAAAGGACACGACAAACATAAATACCTCTTTAATTTCTATAATAGATGGTCTAAAACAAATTATTGGGACTTGTGAAGTACAACAATGGTCTAAAGGGACGAATGGAGGTGATTGACACATACGGCCTTTTTTTTTTGTAGGTGCTCATTTTGTATGGGCTTTTATTTAATGTTTCTATTCAACGGGTGTGGTTATTGGTAAAAACTTGTTAAATCCATCAATCTAGATCATCATCAAGATCAGAACTTCTTGTAAAAAAAAAGTAAATAAATAGTAGTATAGATATATCATAAAATTGATTTCTTCCGTAGGATTGGGGGATCAAGCATTTTTGGAGAGTGATAAATGGGTTATATTATATCTTTTCATGGTGGATCAGCAAATTATTGGGGTGAGCTGGATTTGAACCAACGTAGACATATTGTCAACGAATTTACAGTTCATCCCCATTAACCGTAGCTTCCCATGAATTAGTGAATTAGGTGGGATCATTTTGTATAGAATAACAAATGTGCAAAATAACAAAGCAAAGAGCAAGTCAATTTTCATAATAAGGTCAATGAAGCCTTATTTTAGCCAATCCAGGAGCAATTATTCATGGATATTATGGAAAAATCCTTTCCGATGGAGATACATTCGTTACGTTTATATATGTTGTTTTACTAGTTTGTTTGTCCCAATCATTAATTCTCGTTGACCACTCCCTAGAGGAATCATCGAATCAATAGCAATAAGTCTAGTGAATGATCTGGAATGATTTGGAAGTGACAAAAATTTTCAGGTTTTGAAATTTGGAATTCTCGAAGTGTCTAAATGCATTCAAATTTTCCATACAATTCTTCAAAACATTCGGATTCCAAATTTTTTGGATTCACATAAATTTTTTTAACAGGAATTGAAAATTACATTCCAACTTGCACCCTTACATATGAGAGATATTACTACTTTAGGAAGAAGGAAATGTCTAAATAGCAGAACACAACGAGATAAAGAAAAATACCTTAATATTATTATTGTTTTTTTAATTCAAGGGACAAAATAGAATTGGTTGATTCATTACACTATGTTTGGATTAGAAAAATAAATTTAGAATGTGGATAAAAGTTAAAATTTATAAATTAACACGTACCAATTCTCTTATTTGGATTCATAAACAAGAAATTTAAAATTTCCGCATAAAAAAAAATTTGGAATTTGAGACTTCGAAATCCCATGTTTAAATTCCATATAAATAGGTGTCATTTTCCAATTTTTATGATTGAGAGCTTGAAAATAACAAATTTCGTTTTCAATTCCATTGTTCTTTTAAGTTAATCAAATAAAAAAATTCATAAATTCTAAAAAACAAAATCCCATCAAAATCCATGAATTTATAAATTCATTAAAATCCCACAAATTCTCCATTCAACACCCCCTCACAAACCACCCGCTAAATTTCTTCGTCCAAAGAAAAAGTAACCACCCCCGCACACCCCCCAAATTTCTTCGTTCAAAGAAAAAGTTCGTAATTGAATTACTGTGAATAACCTTTCAGAACGCAAAAGCAGAGGGCAAATAGAGAAAGAAGGTCGTTGAGGTCAAAACTCAGAGACGCCATTAGCGCAGCGCCATAACCCACTCGATCTCACCAAAAATCCGAGAGGGTTTTGTAAGTATCTTTAATATCTCTCTATCTCCTTAATTTTGGCTTGAATTTCTGAATTTGAGGCTTCTCTGCCCTATGATTTATAATTTACGTATGAAGGATTCTTTCTACTCTTGAGTTGTAAAATAGGGTTGAAGTTAAATTTGATCATATTTGCATTTGGGTAATGTAAAATGTCTCAAGAGGGGGTGTTAGGCCATTTGGGACTCTTCTTCCATGGTGTTTGGTCATTTGAGACAAAAACAAGATTGGGATGGTCAGAATGGTGAAGATAAAACGGGGTGGTGCTACCATCGGAAGAAGAGTCTCCCATGGTGTTAGGCCATTTGATGTTGGTGATATTGTCTGAAATTTGATCAATAATTATGTGTGGGTATTGGTATCTTCTCTACATTGTCTGGTTTTTTATGCTTGAACGAGAGATTGCAAATTTTGGCATAATGTTAGATACAATGTGATACACTCTGGCCGTTTTCGCATTGCTGGGATAGGGGTTCATTATCACTTCTCTCGTTGATTAAAATCGTACCCACCAGTTATGTACTTGTTCTAGTTATAGGAAATTTGGTTTGTATTAACCTGCAAATTATGAGACACTCATTATATGGATGGGCACTATAGAGTGGTACATTGAATGTCGATAAAAAGGGAGAATGATCTTTTTTGTAAATGGGTGTGCTCTTTGCGCTCTTCATTCTCATCCTGATCTCCCAGTGCAGGAGAGATGTGGGGGAGCGACAATAGTGCCCCCCTTTGCTAATTATAGAAATGAATGAAAATTTGATGTATTTCAGACTAGAATTATGATCACTATGAAGTTCTAATTTGGGGCTTTATTCGGCTAATATGATTGGATTCAGTGGAAACAAAGTAGAGAGTACCTGTAGTAATTCTTCTTCACAAATTGTTGAGAGAGCTCTGGTATATTCAAGTATTTGACGAGTTGTGTGTGCAGATTGATTGTGCTTTTCTAGGGTATCTGTTTTGGAAGGTTATAATATTTCCGTTGTTCCTGCTACTCCATCACATAAGACAAACGGATTGTCAAATTTCTGAAAATTGCCATTATGCATTCCTTTTTTTAGGTCTCCACTATCTATATTTATCACTGGTCAGTGGTTCTATTTTCTTCGTAACGCTTCTAGTATTTTTATTTTTTATTTTTTATTTTTATGTTCTATTTTTAGACAAGGTACCAGCATATTTCATGGTTTACAGAATCACAGATGACGTTTGTTTTGGTGATAGGGAATTATTCGAAAAAAAATGTCAGGGAGACGAAAAATACCATCATCTTTTGAGCGACGTCCCATTCAATCTCCAGGTATGATGCGGCATGGTCCATTGCCCGGGTCAGGGCCTACAACTGGCCACCAATCATTTGAGTCACTACCCCATCCTGAACTATTGGAAAATAAAATTGCATATCAAGCAGCAGAGATAAAACAACTGGCAGGAGACAATAATAGATTGGCAGCTTCTCATGTGGATTTAAGGCGGGATCTTGTAGCTGCAGAGGAGGATGTAGAAAGACTCAAGGCACACATGAGAAGCATCCAGACTGAGAGTGACATTCAGATCCGGGTTTTGCTTGATAAGATTGCAAAACGGGAAGCAGACATAAAGGCTGGTGAGGGTTTGAAGAAGGAATTGCAAAAGGCTCACATGGAAGCACAGAGCTTGTTTATAGCACGACAAGAGCTGACCATTAAAATTCAACAGGCCAAAGAGGAATTACAGAAAGCTCGACTGGATGTTCAGAAACTACCAGATTTGAATGCTGAACTTGACAGCTTGAGGCAAGAACACCAGAGGCTGCGGTGAGTCATTTAAGTTGTGCAGCTTACTTTCAAGTCTATTTGCCTATATCATAGTGAGACCCATATACTTTCATGCATGCCTTTATCGACAATTATTGCCACCGTGCGATTTCTTTTCTATTTTTAATGTCAGAAATAGGACTCTAAGTATGTTTGTTCCCTTAGTGATGGATTAGTCACATTATACAGATTGTAATGGCATATTCCCAATCTGTTTTGAGCAGTTCCATATTTTCATTTCATTGTGTTATTAGAGATTCAACCAAATTAGCTGAATGATTCGCACAAAATATATTTTCTTGATTAAAGTTCACAGTTCCTGTGTTTTGTTTTTCATTTTTTCATATCATTTGGGATGGTCTCTAAGGTTTCAACTTGATCTCCTGATTCTCTAAAGCTGTTGTGTGTACAAAACAGTTCTACTTTTGAATATGAGAAGGGTTTAAACACAGAGCAAGTTGTGCAAATGAAAGCAATGGAGAAGAAGCTAATTGGGATGGCTAGAGAAGTAGAAAGGTTGCGTGATGAGGTCCTGAATTCCGAGAAGAGAGAACATGGTAACTTTCATGCCTGTCTATATCATATTGATAACAGTTAAAGATTTCTTTAGATGATTATCGTTCTGATACTTTTGCTAATAGTTCTAGCACCAAACACACATACTGGTGGTTACACAAATCCAGATTCGCATTTCCCACGTAATATCCAAGGTGGTAGTGCGAATTTTGATGGTTATGGGAGGCCTTATGTTTCTTTCGGTATTCGGCCACCAAGAGATGGAATAGTTCCATATGGCAGAAGCAGCAACGTAGCTGCTGGTGTAGGTATCCCAACTGCTGGTGGTGGTGCTATTTGGGGACCAGCTTATGATTCCTCGCTTGATGCAGCTGCCCCTAGCTCTGGGGTTGGTGCTGTTTGGAGAGGTGCATATGATTCTGCGCTTTCTCAATAGTGAATACTGGACAAGACCTTTGGTTTCCAGGGCATAAGGCGAAAGTTTAGTGCGGGTCGTAGGATTGAAGGGATTATTTTCTTCTTTTGGTTTGTGTAGTAAGTTGAATGATGCTTTTTCCATAGAGAATTATCGAGTATTGGTAGTGATAGGTGTAGTAGAAAAAATTGTACAAGTTGTCTAATGCACAAGCTTTTTATTTTTCAATCTTTACAGTGATAACGATGATGTAGGTGTAAATATATAGATATTGATTGTAAACAGAATTACTCTTATTCTTATTAGAAACTTAGAAACTCCAAGGAAGGTAAAGCAACCAAGCCTAACTTGGGGAATAAGCATCAGCTAACTGTGTGCCAGCAGCTGCGGTAATATAGAGGATGTAAGCGTTATCCGGAATGATTGGGCGTAAAGCGTCTGTAGGTGGCTTCTTAAGTCCGCTGTCAAATCCCAAAGTGATCCTGTGAGTAACCAAAACGAAGATTTATCCTCCATAGCCCTCCACCATTGATGCTAAGAATAAGAAAGAAACCCTACTCTGCAAGTGTTGCAGTTGTAGCATAAGATGGTTGGATCGTTCTTCCATGCATCGCAATCTCTGCCGTGTGGATACGTAAGATTTTCAGCTCCGTCTTCCTTCTCCCAAAATGTTGCATTTACGTACTTCATTCCACATATTGTTGGTGGCTTGCAACATCCAGACTATGAAAACAACAGAATTCAAACTAAAAATCAAATGCATTGTACGTGATCATTAACTCAGAAACGAGCAAAACGAGCAAGAGGCTTATAGCTCAAGCGTATTGCTTACCAAGAAAGTGAATATCAAGCCAATGCTGATTCCGCATTGAAGTTTTTGCAACCGTAGAAGATCTTCAGTCACACAATCGAATTCCGAGTAATCCCGACCACTTCTTTCCTTGAAGTCACGGCAGCCGTCCTTCTCTATCTTTCCATGCAACTCAAGTCACAAGACATAGCACCTTCCGTTCATACTGGCTTGTCTCTCATCTCTGTACGTATTTCAAGTTTCAACCTTCAGCTGCTTGATCACTTGCGCTTTTTAAACTCTTACCGCGTTCTCAAAGTAATTGGCATTCTCTGTTAGGGTTAGGCTCTCAGCTAGCTAGCATTGCCACTATAATATAGTAGAAAAGGGTTAGGCTCTTAGCTAGCTAGCATTGCCACTATAATATAGTAGAAAAGGGTTAGGCTACTCCTTCTTCTTCTTCTTTTCTGCAGCATTCTAAGTGACTACTAAGTCAAAGTAGAACTTCAACTTTTGTTGATGCAAATTTTCTATTCAAAGGAGATAAAGAAGCCAGTTAGATAGGAGAGATGTAATACTATAACCAATGCTAATGCTCAAAATTTGCAAGTTAACAAATTCAAATACTAAATTTTTAGAGGGCTCGGGATATGAGTGGACTCAAAGGTTTAAGTGGTTCACTCCTTAAAACAGGGCTACATCCACTGCTTTGCTCGAATTATATTGACTTGAAGACTAAAAATAGCGCTCGGCCAATACATGCATTCTATCTCTTTTCAATCGTCCGACCCAAATACAAGAGGTTCCCACCCCTTTATATAGGCCCTCAATGAATCTTTCAACCTTAGGTTTTCCCAACTTGGCATTTAATGTGCCACATATGTTGGCTATCATGCTGATACATTTCCACCTATCAACCAAACATTCAGTGATGAAGTGACATGTGTTCAGCCGAAATGATGCATTATGTCAAAGTGATGCAGGCCGGGCATCTAGCTAGGCTTTGGTTATCCAACCCTGCCTCTCTGAGTGTCGTCTCGACCACCTTTATGTCCCATCTTAGATTGATGCCACTAATTGAGGGCCACCACGTGATTGACATTTGGATAAACTTATTCCTAGAGACTTGTGCCACAAAGCTGTCAGCCTACCCATGTGCTTTTGGCGGTCAAAAAGCTTTTTACAATCTTGGTCAGGTTCAACTTGTAGGCGGTTGGCTATAGCGCTCAGGGGTATTCTCTTCTAAGCTTCTTGGGCCTTGGGCTTCTCAATCTCCCTTGGGCTTTTCGTAGCTTCCTTTCCAGCTTGCACCATTATAAGGGCCTAAATGTTTCCCACGTTAACAACTAACTGCTTTTATTGTTCACATGTAGTCATAATTCTAACTAACACTAAATAAATAAATACATGCTAAAAAAAGTAGTAAATTGGTTAACTGGTGGTTGTTCGACATTCTTAAATATATTTTCATCTATGTTTTAAAGTTTTGTATCCAAGATTTCCAGCTATATGTGCATGTTAATATTGTAAATTGATGTTTAAGTTGGTAGCTCCAATTATGTCCTAGATATCCTTACAAATCACCTATCCTCTGAATAGGTGGGGAAGGACAAACTGTCCTACACTACATCACAAACTACTTTCTATAGCAGCCAATAAATGCTATATAAATTACAATGGAAGAAGCCACGAATTAAATAAGTTTTTGTTAGATCCTTTAGAATTTATAACAAACAATGAATCCAATTTTTGTATTTTTATGTGTTAGAAATGCCAATGGTGGGAAGTATCATGTGTTGGGAGGGAATGCCAAAGATGTTCTTGCAATTCAAGTATCAACAGTGGGTTCTGACAGTGCTTTTAGCCCTAATTCATTTTACTAGCTCTCCAATTTATATCTACTATTCTATAAAATTATGTCACTTATTTTATTCTTTGTGACTATTATGTAGAGTTGGCAAATGCAGGTGCCACTAACAATAAACCAATAAAATTATTTATATTTTCTTCTTTCTGATTATCTCAAATCTCAAATCTTTGGTGATTTTTCTATTTGGTTTCATTTATTTTGAATATGTTGATTTCTAGTTTTTTTTGTTCATTGAAAAGGGGTACTGTAAGACCCTGAAATTTTAGAAGTGTTTTATGAACTTTGGAGTGCCTATAAATTTTACAATTTATAGTTCCTTCCGAATAGGTGATAATTTTACTTGAGTTTAAAGATTATTTTGAGGTAAAAAGATGAAAGTGGACGTCATTAAGAGTTCGTAGCATTTTTCGGATTACCTTTTAGAATTAAGATGAAATTTTAAAGTAATTTACATGTTGGACCAATGAGTAAGTGACATGTGGTAGCCAATAAGTGGCTAGCTTGCCACGTGACAGCTGCTGGAGTGACCAGCAAGCAGGAGTGCTGATGGTTGTGTCAACTTTCTAAGGCAACCATTAGTAGTGCTTACTAAGCACTCTTTCAAGCTAGACGTGTAGGATTTTTAGATGGCAAAAGAAATATATGGATGAGGATGGTTGAGGTGTTGCCAGCAAGGTTCTTTAAGTGCTTATTCAACACACTAGGAAACTGCTGCCTTCTCCTTGTGTAAATAGGGTGCTACAAGCTGAAATGAAAACCGCAAAAGGAAAGAAAAAAAAAATTCCCTTCAATCTTTCAAAATTCATAACTTTCAATTCGGTAATCCGATTAAGGAACGGTTTTCGCCTACATACTTAGTAAATTGAACCCAACGTTCGAAGCTAAATTTTGAGGATTATTACTTAAGTTTGAATAATTCGTTCAGTTTGGGATTTGTGACTAATTAGACCCAAATCTTCGATTTCAAGCTTGTTTTTAAACTATTTGAGGGCTTTGAAGCCTATTTGATGATTGGAGAACGATTTCTGAGACATTAAGGTAAAGATTTACACATGATCAGATTGCTGGGATTTTGTACAAGTTTCATATGAATGAGATTTAGAGAAATATGATGTTTGATTCGAAAAACTTCAAATTTGGACTTTAAAGGACATTTGTATGGAACAAATGAGTTATACTATTGATGGATTGTGTTTTGGCAGAAATATATGTTGAAATTCTAGGAAAAATAGACCTCAAAACTGCTGGTTTCATACCAGGGACTAAACTGCGAAAATAGTTTCAGTTTTGGTGTAAATTGGTAAATTACTGAAAGTTTGGGACCTATTTGAAATAATAAAAAGATGAAATACAGGATTTTTATTCTAGTTAAGTGAATGGTCCTTGTTGGATATAATTGTTGTTATGGGAATAAAGTTGAGTCATTATATATGGACATATAGTGATATATTGTAATTGTTGAACTAGGGACTCCAATTCCTCGTAGTGCTTGCGTTTAATCAAGGTATTGTTGAGAAATATTGCTTTCTTGGCTTGGAGACCAGGTAGGGGGATCCTCACTTGCCCTAGTTATGGAATTTTGTGAATGTATGTATATGCAAATACACGAATGCCAGTGAAAGCTACATATATTTTGCTGTGATAGAACCATGAGGAAAAATGGTTTTGTTTTATATCATGATATTCATGTTGTTTTATGCTACAAATTACAGTGACGACTTGAGAGTGAAAGGGGCATAGTGACCGCCTTGGGTTTTGGATCCCCTAAACCTTCGGAGGGGCTACTACGAAGGGATCTACCTTTCTAGGAGAGGCACTAGGATATCTAAGGGTAGAGCATTAAAGGACACTCTCGCTACGCCTTACCAGAAGTATTTCGTTCAGAGTTGGTCTAGGTAAGGGGATAGTTGGTCATTAGACCGGTCATCAGGCATGTAGTGATTTATTGGGATCCCTGTTTTCTTTTAAAAAGGAAATTATGTGAGCATACAATCTATTTTCAAAACTAAACAAAGCTTTTGTTGTGCATCAATCATTTTCCTAAGTATATGTAGTGTCGTATACTATTTTCAAACCTTGCTAGGGTGGATTCCTTAAGGGGGAGCGATGAGCGTTTGTGATGCTCATCCCTACTTTATTACAAGACCGGTGTACCTACAAATAGACGATCTGGATTAAAGTCGGGACAAGCATTGTTTGTTACTTGTCAACTTCTTAGTTGCTCATTGACTTTCCACTGGTTTTGTTTGTACATATGCTTGATTCCCTGTGTCCTGAAGGAATCTTTTGTCAACTTCGTTTTACCCAAATGATTTCCGCTTCCATACTGATTAAAAATAAATTATTTTACTTCCCCTAAAATAGCTTTACATTCTATTGGGAATGTAGTGCTACATTGTTGGAATTTAACACTATAATATTGCGTTACTAATAGAGTGTGGAACTGTTACATGCCCATTTTTGGGGCCTGACAGAAAAATGGTATCAGAGCAACGGTTGATCCATTTCAATAGAGTTTTGTTGTCTCTCTTCTAATTTATTTGTCGTCAAGTCAAATCTTGAACAAGTTGTTGATTCAATCTCTTTCATTTCAGTTACTACTATGTTAACAAGATGCCTAGTCCTCC